AAGGAGTCGAGGAGACGAGTCCGGGAGCAGGAAGTCGGCCTGCAGAGGGGGAACAGGGGCGAGACCACGGCCGTGCGCACCGTGGTGTGCATTTTACCAGGGATCGTGGCCGTCCGGACCGAGCATGCAGCCGGCACTGTTGGTGATATGGGGAAAACAAACCTACCTCGCTTTTGACCACCCTCGCTTCCAAGAGATGCCAGGCGATGCCAAACTACGGCCAGTCCTGGTCAGGCCGCTTGACGAGGAGGCGCGTGGTACGACTTGGTTTTGCCTGGAAGCGAAAGCGGGGTAGGTAATTCACGCTCTGAGATGAGCAGGGGCCGACCGTCCCCGAATTCCTATAGGCCCACCACGGCGGGTCCTCAGAACCAAAAAAAAAGCTCTCGGAAGCCAGGCAAGGCTCTTAGACCACAGGCCCGATGCATCAAAACAGGACGGTCTCAACCATACACGTGTCAAGAGCATCCCGCGCAGACCACAAAACGTTCTTAGAACCTTCGTTGGTGGGCCTATGAGCAAGCCAGGGCGCTTCGCCACTGCTTGACATTGGGGCGAGAGCCCGATTCCTGAATACCCATCGGTCGGAAGAAGTAGGTCGAAAGATGAAGTAGGAAGGCGTTGCAAGTAGATTGGGTTCCGTCCGACGGAGAAGGTGAAACCACTCGATCATGTAGGCAGGAAGGCGCCAACAAAAGTAGACTGGAATCTGGGAAGCCAACATACCTACCTTCAACAACCGATAGGTCGACTGCGAGGAAGTCTCGGGCGAAACGGCCGCCGCACCGCGCGGTCTGCGGCTCCCAGCTCCCCCTGTGGGACTCTTCTGCGGCCCTCCTGTTGCCCCTATTTGGTGGCACGCAGAGGAGGGCAGGGGAACGGGGGAAGGCTTCTTAGAAGGAGGCTGCTTCTCAGAAGGCGCCGACATCACGTCTACAGACGAGGCCTGCACCTCCGAAGAAGCGGCCTCCTTCTAAAGAAACCTTCCCCCTCCCCCTAACCCCCTCTGCGCGCCGCCAACCCATCACGAGCTATCTGGCGCAACGCTGCTAGGGAAATCCCACCAGCCCTTTGGGCGTGAGTGGTTTAGAGAGCTCTCTCTGTTCTCAACTCCCCATCTTCCCCTTCGGGGAGGGGTTTACCCCTCCCCCTACCCCCTCCCCCTGGACCTGGAGAGGGAGTTCCGAGTGGTGTCAAGGGGGTCTTTTTCGACTCCTGGGAGGGCCAAAAAACGACGACCCTTGGACCTCAGGGGCTGAGCTCATCACATCGTCGGAGATCGGGGACCTTCCCAAAGCGACGCCCCGACTTTTTCCCGTGCGGGCTCCCCCGGAAAAGTCATGGCCCTTATCCTCGGGGCAGGCTCCTCCTCCCGAGCCCGTGCCTCGCGGTCATGGGGGGCCCGGCGAGGACACCCGGACGCAGCACACGACGAGAAACCTCCGTGCAGATGTCTACAGGCCGGAAAAAAAAACACAAGAAAACGAGATTCGGGAGAAGCTCTCCACGAGATTGTCTCACTGCCGCGACCGAGCACGGCGAGCAGGACGGGTCGTCGTCGATGGGCGCCCGAGTCCCAAACCAGCCTACCCTGAGGCGGACTCGCGCATCGCACAATATGTCCCTGGAGGCGGTGGAAGGTGGATGGCGAAATGAATGTATCGGAGCGCGACGTGGAAGAAAAACAATATATACCTCAAAGGACAACGGAAGGGAGCAATGAAAGTGCATGACAAATCCCCCTGCCGGCAGATTGAACGTTGTGGAAAAAATGCAATCCAGACGGCCGCGACGACCTGGGTAAGAGTGACCTTTGGTGCGCGGTTTTTTGGGGGCCGCGGGGGGGCCAATACACAAGCGGGCAAGACACTGCTGTCGCAACGCGCTCGGCGATCGGGGGACCCCAGTGGACCCGCACCAAAAGTCAAATCCAGCGAAAGGTCACTCTTACGTGTAGTCGGAAAAGCTTCACGCCGGTCGGAAGAAGTGGGTAGAAACATGAAGCAAGAAGGCGCTGGAAACAGATCGGGTTTCTGCCCGCCCCCTGAAGAGGAGGGAAGAAGAAAACCGGTCGATCCTTGAAGTAGGAAGGCACCAAAACTAGATTCTGGGATCTGGGGACCCAGACATGCGACTTCCTGATTTTTTCCAGGACGGGGTCCCTGGAACTCCCGACCCGTTCCCCGGGACCGGAGTTTCATCCTGAGCCGTTTTGCGACGGTCCCGAGGCCCGGCGAGGGCTCCCCGAGGCCGAAATTGGCCAAAAACTCCCGGTCCTGATTTCTGTATACGACGCGGCCACGTCTGTAGAGGCCTCCTACAAGCCTCGTCAAAAATAAACAGAAACGCAGATGGAAAGCGCAACGATCTTCTCGGGCACTCGCTAGAAATCGCGTTCTTCAATGCTGCGGAGGGGTCGTCGTTGAAGCCCTTGCGTCCACGTCAGATATCTCGCGTCAGCATTGGAGTAGCGCTGACCATACAATCACCGAAAACAGAATCCCTCATTTTATTTTTGACGAGGGCTGTTCGCTTATAGGCTTCTAAGCCGCTTTCTTTCGCTAATGCGCAGCACGTGTCCGTCCGCTCGGCTGGATAATTAGTTTGCGTTTAGCGACTAGCTTGCCGCCGCCCAGACAGCCGCCCACCCCTTGTCGCGCGGCGCTGAACTGAACAGATTCGGGGGGACGAGACAGATAAATCATCGGCATCGTCGTCTGCGCCATCGACACCTCAGCCATCGACGCCAAAATCACCTGGTGTAAGATAGCGGGTATACGTTCCAATGTTATGGAAGTTCGTGCGTCTGGGAGCTTTCGCGCGATTCTCGGCGTCCGCTGTAGCGTAACAACTAGCAAATCGCTAGGTCGACAACGCGGAAGACCGTATAGGTCGTTGAATCGGATACGGCACAGCTAGGGAGAAGGAGTTCGTGCAAAATCACGGGTAGACGTTCCAATATTATGGAAATTCTTGCGTCTGGGAGCCTTCGCACGATTCTCGGCGTCCGTGGCAGCGTAACAGTAGCAAATCGCTAGGTCAACAACACGGAAGACGCGTTTAGGTCGTTGTGTCGGAACCGGCGCAGCTAAGGAGAAGGGACGGTGCAAAATCACAGGTAGACGTTCCAATGTTATGGAAATTTGCGCGGCTGGGAGCTTTCGCGCTGCCGCCGCCCAAAGGAGGGTTGTTACAAAGGATGACGGCGGGTATTTGTCCAACTACCCCGCCGCCGCCCACTCGGCGCGCGCTTTGATTTAGTGCGGCGGACACTGCAGTCACTTCGACGTGTTATTTGTACAACAACTACCCACCCTTGCCCACCAGAGTGCATTTTTTGCAAAGGATTATGGCCGGGTAGTTGTTGGTACTAACCAACAACTACCCGACCGCCGCCCACTCGGGTTGAATTTTTATATAGCGCGGCGGTCACCGACGTCACTTCGACGTATTATTTGTGCAACAACTACCCACCCATGTCCACCGGAGTGTATTTTTTGTCACGTATGATTGCCGGGTACTTGGGTAGTTGCAAATTTTAAAAGAAAGGAAAGGGGGGGCATCTTATTCTTTTAGAAAAATACAACTACCCAAGTACCCGGCAATAATCAATAACAAAAAAACACTCCAGTGGACATGGGTGGGTAGTTGTTGTACAAATAATAAGTCGAAGCGACGTCGGTGACCGCCGCGCTATATAAAAATGCAATCCGAGTGGGCGGCGGCCGGGTAGTTGTTGGTTAGTACCATCAACTACCCGGCCATAATCTTTTGCAAAAAATGCACTCTGGTGGGCAAGGGTGGGTAGTTGTTGTACAAATAATATGCCGAAGTTACTACGGGGTTCGCCGCGCTGCATCAAAGCGCATGCCGAGTGGGCGGCCCCCAGGTTGCCGCGGGGGGGTCCAGGGGCGGCTGCCAGGTTGCCGCGGGGGGGTCCAGAAGTATATCTCTTTGATAGGACCAAGTAGATGGGTGCCTCCCCCCCGCCGTCGGCCGCGCCGCCGCCGCCGGCCCCGCGCGTCTTCCGCGGCTGCCGTGCTCGAGTTTCTTGGGTGCCGCGCGTGGCAGTTTAGCGCGATGTACATTGCACCGCACATATGGTGCCAAGATAATATAAGAACCTATTGTTTGGGGTGAGCACTGATTTTTACAGCGGCCAAGCCTCGTCAAAAATAAACAGAAACGCAGATGGAAAGCGCAACGATCGATCTTCTCGGGCACTCGCTAGAAATCGCGTTCTTCAATGCTGCGGAGGGGTCGTCGGAATTTTGAAGCCCTTGCGTCCACGTCAGATATCTAGCGTCAGCATTGGAGTAGCGCTGACCATACAATCACCGAAAACAGAATCCCTCAGTTTATTTTTGACGAGGGTTGTAGATGGGGTCGGAGTAGATGTGGTCGGAGGATCGCGCCGCATCGTCAATGCATCGGCGATGCATCACCGATGCATCGCCGATGCATCAGCGATGCATCGGCGACGTCGGCGATGTATCGGCGACGCCAGCGTGGAGAAAATCGGGTTCCACATCGAGCCGAATCGCTGATGCATCGGCGATGCGACGCGATCCTCCGATCCCATCTACTCTGACCCCATTTAGGAGGCCTAGAGTCTGGGAATCCCAAAATAATCCCACTCTCCACGACCGGCGCGCTCAGCCTGAGCCGTTTTTTGACGGTCCCGAGGCCCGGCGAGGGCTCCCCGAGGCCGAAATTGGCCCAAAACTTCCGGTCCTGATTTTTTTGTACGACGCGGCCACGCCTGGGAATCCAAAAAAACAATCCCACTCTCAACGACCTGCCGAAAAATGGAAGACATCATCTTTACGGCACGAACGCCGTGGTGTCTGTGCAGTCGTAGAAGACTGCTGCGAGGACATTCGGGTTCCGCGCGGAACCCTGCGAAGACAGTCGAGCTGCAGAAGGTTGCGGCAACAAAAAAAACACGGCGCGCCCAGCCCCGACGGCCGCGGAGGCCGCGCCCACGGGCCCGCCAGGTCCTCGAGGGCAGCTCCGCGGCCAGCGCCGGGGGGGTCGGCGGCGGCTCCTCCGCGAGCTCCCCCGGGCCGACCTCTCCGCGCGGGAGGGCGGCGCGCCGGCGCCGCCGCGATCGACGGGCCGAGCGGGGATGGGCAGGTGCGCTCCTCCTCCTCCTCCTCCTCCTCCTCCTCCTTCTCCTCCTCCTCCCCCTCCTCCTCTTCCCGCCCTCCCTCCCTCCCTCCCTCCCTCCTCCCTCCTCCGTCCTCCCTCCTCCCTCCTCCCCTCCCTCCCTCCTCCTCTGTGCTCCGACCGACGGGCCGACCGACGGGCCGAGCGACCGACGGGCCGACGGGCGCGCAGGTGCGATCGACGGGTCGGCAGGTGCATCCACAGCTCGGCATCGCGTCGAGGGAGTGCCAGGGCGGCAGGTTCCTGTGGCGTCGGGCCCAGGACAGGGGGATGCACCCCTCGAGAGCATTAGAGGCCCTCCGCCAGCCAGCACACGCACAGAGAACCAGCAGAGGGTGCCCTCCCCCCCAGGATGCACGAGAACATCCAGCAAACAGGAAGCCATCAGGGCACCCTCTCCGAATCGACCTCGATCTCGTGCCCTGGTCCGACTGTACGTCGGTGGATCGATGGGCCAATATGGGTCGATCGACGATCGACGGATCGAAGGGTCGGTCCACAGATCGATTGGCTGATCTGTACAGCTCGATCGGAAGATCGATAGATCGATACAATGAGGGGGATCGATTGATCGATACGATTAGAGAGATCGATAGATCAATAGACATCCTCCTCCTCCTCCGCCTCCTCGTCCTCCTTGTCCTCCTCCTCCTCGTCCTCCTCCTCCTCGTCCTCCTCCTCCTCCTCCTCGTCCTCCTCCTCCTCCCCCTCATCCTCCTCCTTCCCCTCCTTCTCCTCCTCCTCCTCCTCCTCCTCCTTCTCCTACTCCTCCTCCTCCTCCTCCTCCTCCTCCTCCTCCTCCTCCTCCTCCTCCTCCTCCTCCTCCCCCTCCTCCCCCTCCCCCTCCTCTTCCTCATCATCCTCCTCCTCCTCCTCCTCCTCGATAGACCGATCGATGGATCGACGCATCGACAGCTCGGAGATCGCTCCTCGATCGACGACCGATGGCCACGCGGAGGGCCTCCGAGGGGGGCTCGCGCCGCGCAGGGCCCACGCCGCGCGACGCCTCGGAAGCCTCGCCAGGCCACGGGGCCCCATCGGGGACGCGTCGTCGTCGTCGTCGCCGTCGTCGTCGTCGTCGTCGTCGTCGTCGTCGTCGTCGTGGTCGTCGTCGTCGTCGTCGTCGTCGTCCTATCTGGGGTGGGGCCTATGGACTGGGCCAGTCAAGCCTTGCAAGATCCTGCGAGATCCTGCAGGCTCCTGCGGCATCCTGCACGCCGGCCCGGGCCAGTGCACACCCCTGGCTCTGCAGGCTCCTGCCAGGTCTCCGGCGCTCGGGCGGACCCCCGCCGGCATGGGCCCCCGTCTCGAGGCCCCCGGCCCCGGAGGAGAACGGCTCGGGACGAGGAAGCCCGTCCTGGGGAAGGGGCCAAGACCCCTGGGGGTCCACGTCGTCGATCGATCGATCGATCGATCGATCGAGGCTCAAGGATCGAGGTTCGATCGATGAAGACTCGAGGATCGGCCGATCGAGGATCGAGACTCGATCAATCGAGGTTTGATTTATCGAAATTCGATCAATCGAGGTGCGAAGACGGGGTTATCACGGTGCTAGGCTCTAGAATCGAGGCTCATTCTGCCTTCTTCGTTTCACCCCAGCAGATCGCGCAATGTCCTGGTTTGCAATGCCCTGGTTTCTGAGGCCCTGATCCCTGCCCCTTCTTGAGCCTCCGGAGGCCTCTGGGGGGCCTCCCCGGCTGCTGGGATCCCTGGAGGCCTCCAGTATCCTCTCCGACTCGTCGCCGCCAGCATCGTCGTCATCGTCGTGGCTGTCGCCGCGGTCGTGGTCTTCGTCGTCCTGAGCTTCGTCGTCGTCGTGCTCGTCGTCCTCCCCTCCTCATTGAATGGAATTGGCATCAACGACGAACAGAGCGGAGGGCGAGTAGAGCGTAGAGCAAGGAAGAGGAGCAGCAGCAGGAGAAGGAAGAGGAAGAGGACGAGGAGGAGGAGGGAGGAGGCGGAGGTTCTGAGGATTCTGCATTGGGTCCTACAGAGCTCCAGAGGGGGGAGGTTCGTGAGGAGGAGAAAGAGGGAGATTGACAGAGCGAGGGGGGAGGAGTATGGGGGAAAACCCGTCCACCGCCCCCTGCCCATCTGCTTCTGCACCTCACCCTCATCCCCATCCTCCTCCAGTCGCTCTCTCTCTCTTTCCCCTCCTGTCCATCCTCGTCCTCCTACCCATCCTCCTCCTCCTCCTCGGCCTCCTCCTCCTCCTCCGCCTCCTTCTCCTCTTCTACTCCGTTTCCTTACAGATAACTCCTCCCTATCGCACCCCGAGGCCAGTCGAAAGGGCGGGCCGGGCGTTTCGCCTGAGAACTCCTGACAATGCATGATCCTGAAACTTGAAATTTACAACAATTTCACGGAAGCGAGCGGCCCACTTTTAAATTGTAACTCTCGCCTTACCGCCGCGTACAATCGTTTGAAAAATACCAGAACTTCACGGATGGAATGCGGTCCGATTTCAAAGTGTGACTCTCGCCTTAGCGCCGCGCACATTCGTCTGCAAAGTTTGCAAGAGCTTGTCGGGTGGAGGGCGGTTGCTTCTCAAGATGGGGCTCTCGCCTTAGCGTCGCGCACATGCGTCTTGAAAGTTTGCAAGAGCCTCACGCATGGAGGGCTGCTCATTTTCAATATATGGCTCTCGCCTGAACTCCGCGCCTGAACTCTGAGCTTCATGGATGGAGGGCGGTTCCTTTGCAAAATGTGGCTCTCGGCTGATCGCCGCGAACATTCGGCTTACGAGTTCGCAGCAGTTTCAAAGATTATCCGTGTTAGCGTCCCACAAATCATGTTTGGGCACGATGTCGGAATGTCAAGGAGCAACATGTACATTGCTTAGCGCTGCTGAAGTCCCAAGAACTGTGTTATGATGCGATTCCGGACCGTCAAGACGCAACCGTAACGGTGATTCGCAGCGTTGAAATCCAAGGAGAGGTGTTCTAACACAACTCTGGGTGTTCAAACTGTTGTCTTCCAACAGGGCATATCCCGAAGTGAAGAGGAATCAGTGTCGGAGCCTATGAAGGTGAAACTTGGAGGGAGGGTGTCTTGCAATATCGTTGATGCGTCTTGGGTTTACACTGGTCCTCCTCGTCCTCCTCCTCCTCCTCCTCCTCCTCCTCATACCTCTCTGCCCGTATCCTTAAAGACTGCAGCACGCTGCCGAGCAGTCAGAGGCATGGGCGGCAGACCTTGGCCTTGGCCGCGTCGCCAGTGGGCTTCTTCTGCCTCGCAGCCAGGGCCGACTTGAGCGAGCTTCCCTTTGCCTGGGGGCACCGACGCCGACGCCGACGCCGACGACGGCAATGACGACGCCGCCACTGCCTTCCAAGGTGGAGGAGGTGCACGTGGAAGCCGCTACTGCGCTCCAGCGGTCCCCAGAGGCTTCCAAAGGCCTCCAGCGGCCCGATCAACAACAAAATCGCCGAGGACGACAACGACCATGACGACAAAGGCGACGGCGACGCCGACGCCGACGACGCCGAGGACGCCGACGACGCGGGCAGGCTGGGGGGATGATGAATTATGAGGAGGCAAGGGGGGGACGAGGGGGAGGCGAGGGGGGGCGGAAGGGGGCAGAAGAAAAGAGACGCGGGGAGGAGGGGGGGGGAAGGGCGAGGAGGAGGAGGTTAGGGATAAAAAGGGACGGGGGGAGGAGGGGGAGGAGGAGAACGAAGAGGAGAAGAAGGAGGACGAGGAGGAGGAGAACGACGAGGAGGAGCCGGAAGGAGGGAAGCACGAGCCACTGAGGAAGCGCGTCCAAGCTACCCGAGCGCGCCCTGCTGGGAACCAAAACTTGTGCCCCCCCCGACTGGGTTGGAACGCTCAGCAGCAAGCTGACGCCCGTGCACGGTGGCTGCCGCCCGCAGTGGTGGCGAGCATACATGCCAAAACGGTCCCAGAACCCCAAGCGGGGGGACTCGCTGAGGGACACCCCGCAAACAGCCACGGGCCCAGGAACAGAGACGACATCCTGAGGCCACTTCTGGGCCCCATCTAAAACGCAATCCGAAGCACAAAAAAAACAGAAACCTGCCCCAAGTAGAAAGACTCCCACACCTGGAACATCTATCACGCTTGCCACACTGAGGTACATGGTGAGCACTGGCGCGGGTGGCTCGATCCCTCTTGGTCCCCCGTCGAGCTCCCTTGGTGGCTCTGACAGGACCGGCCGCTACAGAATCCGCCAAGGACCTGCGGGCCCTTCTCCTGGCCAGGGACGCAATCACATCCCACAGGTAGTCAAGTGCGCGTCCGCAGTGCGCCCAAGCTCCCAGTTACGCTCAGCTGCTTCCCAGCAGCAGTGTTAGCTGCGGCGTTGCTGGCAGCCAAGAAACGTTCTTGGGGGGTGAGACTGGGATCGTCGGGATCCACATGACAGGGGGTCCAATCAACAGAAAACTCGCCTTCCCCGCGGCTCTCAGGAGCCCTTCTGATGCGCAACCCGAGGTCTCCGTTCCGCCCGTCGCAAAACCGGAACCTACCCAGCTCACAACCAACGAACAGAGGCCTGTGGCCCGTCACAAAAACGAATGGGACCCACAGAAACCTAAAGAGACCGACACCGTCATCATCATCATCATCATCATCATCATCATCATCATCATCATCATCATCATCATCATCATCATCATCATCACCATCACCATCATCATCAGCATCATCATCATCATCATCATCATCATCATCATCCTCATCCTCATCATGACCACCACCAGCATCATCATCATCAGCATCATCATCATCAGCAGCAGCAGCTGCGAAATCATCATAAACAGAATCCTCATCATACTCATCATCATCAGCATCAGTATCAGGATCATCAGTATCATCATCACCATCATCATCATCATCAGCAGCAGCATCATCATCCTTATCATCATCATCAGCATGAGCATCAGCATCGTCACCATCATGAACATCATCATCATCATCATCATCACCATCCGCATCATCATCATCATCAGCATCAGCATCCTCATCATCATCAGCGTGAGCGTCACCAGTGTCATTATCAGCATCATCAGCATACTCATCGTCATCATCATCATCATCATCGTAATCATCACCATCATTTCTATCAGAATCATCATCAGCAGCAGCATCACAGTCATCAACATCATCGGCATCAGCATCAGCAGCAGCAGCAACATCAGCATCATCAGCATCAGCATCAGCATCATCAGCATCATCAGCATCATCAGCATCAGCATCTGCATCATCATCAGCAGCATCATCAGCAGCATCACCATCGGCAGACATCAGCATCAGCATCACCACCACACTCATCGCTAACACCCATCACCACCACCACCACCACCATCAGCATCATCATCATCATCAGCAGCAGCAGCATCGACAGCATCGTCAGCATCATCACCACCACCATCACCATCATCATCATCATCATCATCAGCATGAGCGTCATCAGTATCATCAGTATCATCAGTATCATCATCCTCATCATCAGCATCCTAATCATCCTCATCATCGGTATCATCATCATCATCAGCATCATCAGCATATTCATCATCATCAGCATCATCATCGTCATCATGGCAATCATCATCAGCACGATCATCAGCATCATCAGCAGCAGCATCAGCAGCATCATCATCTACATCATCATCAACAACAACATCATCATCGCCATCATCCGCAAAGTCATCATTAGCAGCAGCATCGGCTTCATCAGCATCAACAGCATCATCACCAACAACAACAGCATCATCATTCCCATCACAAGAATCAGCATCATAATCAGCATCAGCATCATCATCAGCAGCATCCCCATCATCATCAAAAGCATCATCAGCATCAACATTCCCATCACAAGCATCCTCATCATCATCTTCATCAGAATCATCATCATCACCACCATCATACCTATCAATGCCTCACCACACGGACCCTGAATCTTCGCGGCCCACTCCAGGTGCAGGAAGGCCTCCTCCCCCCGCCACCCTCCCTCACTCCCGCTCCCATCTTTTCTCCCCTGTTTTCGCTTCCTTCCCCTCCCCCTCCTCCTCCTCCTCCTCCTCCTCCTCCTCCTCCTCCTCTTCCTTCCCCTCCTCCTCCTCCTCCTCCTCATCCTCCTCCTTCTCCTCCTCCTCGTCCTCCTCCCTCTCCTCCTCCTCCCCTTCCGCCTCCTCATCACCCTCATCACCCTCTCCTCCACCTCCTCATCCTCCTCCTCCTCCTCCTCCTCCTCCTCCTCCTCCTCCTCCCCCTCCTCCTCCTCCTCCTCCTCCCCCTCCCCCGCCTCCTCCCCACCCACCCGTCCCCCCTACTCACGCGCCCGCCCGCCCACCCCCGTCAAACCGCAACACCTCCCCTCACCGCCGTCCGTCCTCGTCGAACACATATACAACTACACGCATCAAAACTGCACCTTGTTGCTGGGACCAGGTGTGGCAATTATTATTAGATTTGGCGCATCGGTCGGTCTGGGTGGACGGACACCGCCTCGCGACCTACGATGGAAGGCGATGATCGCGCCGACGACGTCGCGTGCCAAGCGTGGAAGCGATCACCACGTTTCACGGGAAGGCTTGGCAACAGTCGCAAGAAAAGTCATAACGCGAACAAGCGCTTCACCCTCGGACGGGGAATCCGGCACGAAGAAGAACTCGAAAGCGCGGGGATCGGACCGCGAATTTGCTGCTGGGGCACACGCGGGGGAAGGAAACGGGCCGCGCGAGGTCGAGGCCCCCAGGCATATGGCTGGCTTCCCTGAACCAGGGGACGTGGGATGTCGGCGGGGAGCGGCCCACGGGGCGGGGCCTCGGCGGTGGGCAGCGCGGGCAGCCGATACTTCGCGAAAAAGGAACACGTACAGAACGGCACTTAGCGGCCCAGGCGCGGTACACGTTGGGAGCGCGACTGGCGGCACCCGACACGCACCCCGCCCCGCAGGCTAGGTGTAGTTCTATAAGTGCTCCGTTTTGTGAGGATGTCTCCGGCGAAACCAGCACGTACAGAACTACACCTAGTGCCTGGCTAAGTGTAGTTCTGAACGTGCTGGATGTCTCGCGCGGGGCGAGCACGTACAGACCGGCACCTAGCGAAAGGGAGGGGGTACAGGTCGGGTGCGTCGTCGCGTCCCGGCCGCAGAGTCAGGAAGGCAGGGGCCGCTGAACCCCCTGCCAGCCTGCGGGCGGAGGTGTCTGAACGTCCCAGGGCTTTCCGAAGGAATTCCAACTGCGGCCTCCGCCCACATCGCTCCCACTATCAGAACATCTTGCCTGGTCACTATGTTCCCCATTCCCACCCGCTGCTTTGCCCTCCCCCTCCCTCGTTCTTCCTCTACCTGCCGCCCTCCATTTCCCTGAGCGTTTCCCAATTGCCCCTGGCCCCTGCGCGGCGGCAAACGCCCGCGCCCCCCCGCAGCTGAAAGACTCACCTTGCGCACTGGCAAGCGAAGTCGAGGCCCTGGCAAATCCGACAGACGCGATCGGCCCCCACGAATGGCGGGCGAACCAATACCTAAGACGATGTCGCAAAAGTAAGTCTGGAATTCGGGGATCCGCGCAAGAAGCTAATCTGCTCGCCCAAAGAATAGTTCTGTGCCTGTCCGACCTCGGCCTCTCCCGCCAGCCCGCTCCCCCTCCAGCCCGCTCTCCCCAGCCCCTGCCGCGCGCTGCCGTGCACGCGCGCCTTCGACCCGCCCTGCTCGGCCCCGCTCCTCCCCTGTCCCGCCCGCCCCCGCCGCGCGCGCCTTCGACTTGCCCGTGCTCCAGCCCTGGGCCGCAGAAGGAGCGTGAGACCTCTGGGCCGCCCGTGTCCGCTCCCTGCCCCACTGCCGCGGTTCGCCGAAGCAACGACATGCAGCTGCCGTTCACTGGAGCACATTTTGGAGAGGGGGGCGCGGGCAGCCGATGCACATGTGAACCCTACCCCTGCAGGGCAGATTTGCAGATTTCCAAAACCCCGGCCGGGGCTCGGAATTTGAAGGATGCCCGCAGCCAAGCGAGCCTCAGCGAGGGTGTCACACACCCCGGCGTCCCGTGGACCAGTGGGGGCAAGGCTCGCAGGTGGCCGCAGATCGCTGCCATCACAACTCGCAAGGAGAGGGCGGGAGGCAAGGACGACCACGAAGGCGAGCCACCATGCAGGGGCGGCCCTGGAGAGCCGATCGAGCACTCTCGATGTGGACTTCTGGGGCCGCGAGGTGGCCACGAAACACAAAAGGGCCGCGTCGTGGGCGGGAACACGCATCCATATCCGCAGCCACTCGGGCCGGGTCTCTGCGCCACGACTTCGTGGATACAGTGCCGTTTTTGCCGCGGGTGCCCCTCGCGGAACGCACCCGTGCGACCGCGCATCCACAGGGTCGCGCCCTTGGACTCCAGACCGCGAAGGCGTGGATGCGGAGATGGTCGCAGCCCGTGGCCGAGGCTGCGGTCAGGAGCTGCTGCTCGGCGTGTCGCCGCGGCGGCCCCGGCGACACGCTCTGCCATGCAGGAGGGATGGCGTGTCGCTCCGCTCCGCAGGGAGGGATGCGGGGAGAGGCTCGGCACGAGGACGCCCGGGGGGGGCCGCCAAGTGGAGAGCGCGTCGCGCCGAGGCGTGGGTGGGCCAGGGCCGGCAGAGCGACACGCTGTCCGAGAAGTCCTGACCCTGGAGCCCGTGCGGATTGCCTGGTGGGGCTTCCGTAGATCTTCGCGGGCCCCCCGTCGTCTGCTCGCACACCTGGGTCGAACAACGCCCCCCTCCTGCCCCCAATGTTGCTCCCTGGCACCCTTGCTTTCAGCCGCTAGACGGCGCCGCGGCGGCCAAAGAAACACCCCAGAACGGCTGACAAAATACCCCAAGACCAGCCTCAGAAGGCCCAGCGACCCCCCAGAGGCAGCAAGATGCTCCCAAGAGGCCTCATGAGGCCTCAAAGCCCCCAAGAGACGCCCAAAGAGGCCTTTAGCGAAGCACTACGAAGTGAAGCGCTTCCAAACACCTTGAGAAATCAGTATTCTGTATTGCTCATACGGCTGTTCGGCTTACAGTGGAGGTCAGTCCACAAGAAACCTTCCACAAGAAATTCAACCCTGAGATCCCAGGACGTCCACTGATGTTCGGTGTGGGAACGTCGCGCTTTCCACAGCAAAACCATCGAAACCCAAAAAACCCAGGGCACCCTGGAGGCAAGCATGGTATTTCTTGGCATGGGCCTCCACTGATGATCGCCTCGGGCAAAATTCGGAGAGCTTTAGGCCCAAAAGGGCACCAACACGGGACCACCGCACGCGCGAGATGGTCAAAAACAGCCCCAAGAGACATCGATGCAGCGCAAACACTCGCCCGGTTGTCCCCGTTGTAGATCAAACGCGCATCTTGGGCAGAGCTCAAGAGACCACGACGAAGCCTCCAACAAATCTTCAAAAAAGGAAAGCGGAAGAGAACAAGGCTGCGGACAGCGTCCAATATCCCAGCGTCGATTGGACCTGTACACTGGGCACGCCTCCTCCTCCTCCTCCTGCTCATGCTCCTGCTCCTGCTCCTCCTCCTCCTGCTCCTCCTCCTCCTCCTCCTCCTCCTCCTCCTCCTCCATCCCTCTTCCTCTTCCTCCTCCTCCTTCTCCTCCTCCTTCCTCCTCCTCCTCCCTTCTCCTCCTCCTCGTCCTCCTCCTCCCGTTTCTCCTCCACAATAGGTAGTTGGTTGGGGGTGTGGCGTATTTTCGCCGCCACACTGGGCGGCCGTACAAGCACTGTTCGGGGAATACGACAGGACTACGAAGAGAACGAGGCTGCGGACTCTGAGGGGTCGTGGCAAATACCAGCGCCAGATCGGACGGGGCAGTGAACCTGAGCGGGTCTCAAGCTCAACCTTCCTCCTGCTGCGTTACTGCGCTGGCGCGGAGGCGGCGGCTGCCGCAGGCAGCTGGATAGCAAGCCAGGTCGTGGGCCCTTGGCCACCAAATCCATAGCTGACCACCGCCGCCGCCACCGCCTACCCCTTCGGACGGTAAGGCTTTACGCTGTACGTGGAAATATGCTTATGCTTCCAGCTGCTGGCGGTAAACTCAAAGCCAGTATCATGATCCGTCTCTCCTCCATACTCCGCCCTCGCATTACATTACTCCTCCTTCCCCTCGGTTTCAATCCCCTTGCCTTCCTTCTTACGTCTGTTCCTTCTCCCTCCTCCTCCTCCTCCTCCTCCTCCTCCTCCTCCTCCAACTATTACTCCTCCTCTCACTCCTCCTCCTCCTCCTCCTTCTCCTCCTCCTCCTCCTCCACCGCCTCCTCCTCGCCCTGGCCCCCTCCCCCACCTCCACCTCCTCACTTCCCCATCTCGTTGTGCTCGCCTCCTTTGGACTCACCAAGGTTTCAGCCACCCGTGTTGGGGCCAAATGATCGAGGTTAGAGCTCGGCGAGGGTCAAACTCATGCGTCCCACTCGTTCGCCCATCGTGTATTGAATTCAAGTCGACATGACGCTCTTCGGGCAGGGTCCAACCACTTCCCCATCCTGCCCTATATCCGTCTCCTTCCTCCTCCTCCTCCTCCTCCTCCTCCTCCCTCCTCCTCCTCTTCTGCTCCTCCATCTCCTCCTCCTCCTCCTCCTCCTCTCCTCCTCCTCCTCCTCTCCTACTCCTACTCCTACTCCTCCTCCTCTCCTCTCCTCCTCCTCCTCCTCCTCCTCCTCCTCCTCCTCCTCCTCCTCCTCCTCCTCCTCCTCCTCCTCCCCTCCTCCTCCCCCTCCCCCTCCTTATCCTTGTCATCCTCCCCCTCATTATCACCCTCCTCCTGCCCCTTCTCCTCCTCCCCCCTCCCTCTCCTCCTCGTCCTCCTCGTCCTCCTCTCCTCCTCCTCCTCCTCCTCCTCCTCCTCCTCCCTCCCTCCTCCTCCTCCCTCCTCCTCCCCTCCCTCCTCCCTCCCTCCCTTCGTCCTCCTCATCCTCCATCTCCGTCATCTTCCACATTTTCCAATTCCTCCCCCACCCTGCCTCGCCAGCGCTCGGACGTCTATTCCCCGTGCATTATTTGGTTTTGCGCGTGTATGTTTCGCACGATGATCCAAGATGATCCCCGATGCTCCTCACCGGGAAAAATGTACACGTCCGAGCGATGCCGGGCTGCAGTGAGAGTAGGAACGAACTGGCCGCGGGCCGCCATCGCGGGAGAGAGCCGACAGGCCGGGCGGCAAGAGGGACCGAACCATTGGCATGGTGACAGTCCTCGTAGGCCGCAGGCCTGACGGGAGCACCAGCCTCTCGATCACCACCCTTGTTGCCACCGTCACCGAAATCATCATCACCATCACATCATCGCAGTCGCCATAATCATTTCAATCATCAGCATCATCAGCATTATCGGCATCATCAGCATCAGCATCATAATAATAATGAACATCATCCTAATGATCATAATCATCATCGTTATCACCGTCAACAACGCCATCAAGATCACCATTAGCATCAGCATCATCAGCATCATCAGCATCGTCATCGCCGCTTTCTTAATCATCACCCTCATCATCACCACCACAATCATCAGCACCACCATAAGTATCAGCAGCATCAACATCAGCACCATCGTCACAATCATAACCATCATCCGCATCGTCATCAACACCAACAGCATCAGCATCATACTCATAAACAGCATGGACATCAACACCAACATCATACACGTCATAATCGTCAACATCATCAGAAACATCATCCTCACATCATCATCATCAATAACAACAACATCAACATCATCACCAACATCAATCGCAACATCATAATCAGTATCGTCGAAACCATCAGCATCATCAGCATCGTAAGCATAATCACCACCAGCATTGTCATCTTCATCACCATAATCATAATCATCATCATCATCATCATCATCATCATCATCATCATCATCATCATCATCATCATCCCCATCATCATCAAAATCAGCATCATCATCACCATCATCATCATCATTAGCAGCATCATCATGATGATCATCAGCATCGCCATCACGATCACAATTCGCATCATCATCAGCATCATTATCGTCAGCATCATCGCCATCATGATCACCATCAGCATCATCATCATCGTCATCAGCATCATCGTATTCTTAATCATCATCATCACCACCACCATCATCAACACCACCATGAGTATCAGCGGCAGCATCATCATCATCGTCATCATCATCGTCACCATCTTCATAAGTATCATCTGCTTCATCATCAACACAAACAACATCGGCATCACTTTCATAAACAGCATGGACAGCAACACAAACACCATGAACAGCATCATCGGAAGCATCATCAGAAGCATCAGCATCATCATTGCCATCATCACCAGCATCACCAACAACAACATCAACATCAACATCAACATCAGAATCATCATCACCACCATCATCAACATCACCGTAACCAACATATCACCGTCAAGAGTATCATCAGCATCGTCATCATCATCATCATCCCCAGCATCATCAAACTCATCAGCATCATCATCCTCATCATCATCATCAGCAGCAGCAACAGCATCGTCAACATCATCGTCGTCATGGTCATCGGAATCGCCATCATACTCACCATCATCATCAGCGACAAAAAACGTCAGCATCATCATGGTCATCATATCCGCAGTCGTCGTCGTCACAACCATCAGCATCAACTTAATCGCCCTCGCCAGTAGCATCCTCAACATCGCCGCGCCCGTGCTTGCTTTCCTCCACCGCGTCCTCCCCCTCTCTCCTTGGGTTTTCTAGCAGCGGGTAAAGGGGCGAAAGGGCGGAGGGTAAGGAGGAGGAGGAGGGGGAGGAGGAGGAGGAGGAGGAGAACGACGACGACGACGAGGACGCAGAGAAAGCGGAGGAGGCGGAGGATGATCCACGGCCCCAAGGGACTCCTGAGCCCATCCCCCCCGGGATCCTTCTGCGTCCTGGACCCACTCTTCATGGCGCCGGGGCCCGAAGGCAGCCCCCCCCCCAAGCGCCGCGAGGAGAAGTCACATCAGCACTCAAACCCTCAACACCACTAAATGAGGAGCCGCGACATCGCGCGGGAGTGGGCGGATTGGGTGAGTGGGGCATCACCGTCGCGACGCGCAGCCCCCCTCCCGAAACCCCGCGCCTGCAGCGGGGTGCGCTCGGGGTCGCGCGTCGCCTCGCCTCGTGACGTCGCACGGTTCCTTTCGGGGATGGACAGACCTCCCTTTAGTAAAACGTGGTTTAGTGAAAACGACCTCGGGCCCAAGCCTGGCGGGCGCAAGCCTGGAAAATGGCGGCCGCGGCGCCCTCTCGAGAACCGAAAACTCGACGTGTCACTGTTGGGGGTTCTGTCCACCCCCGACTCTTGCTTCCCTCACTCCTCGCCTCAGTCCACCTCCCTCTGCCACCCTCCCTGTGAGGATGGATCCGCCACCTCCCCCAAACCCATGAGGGGCAACGAGGAGGGGGGACCGGCTCAGGGGGCGAAACATCGACGTGGAATCGGCGATACAGCGCCGATTCGATGCTGCCAATCGACCTGCGCGCGCACGGAAGGCGGCATGCGGGCGCGCCACGGCGCGCGCACGGCGCGGCGCACGGCGCGGCGCGCATGGCGCCGGCAGGCGGGCGGCGCGCCCTCGCGCACGCCCGGCGCGCGGGCACGGCACGGCACGCGAGCACGGCACGGCACGACGCGCCGCGGGCACGCGCCGCGGGCACGCGCCGCGGGCACGCGCCGCGGGCACGCGCCGCGGGCACGCGCCGCGGGCACGCGCCGCGGGCACGCGCCGCGGCACGAGGCGGTACCTTCTTCGCGCTTCGAAGTGCCGCTAAGGGCCTTGCATTGCAAGGGAGACCCCCTCATCACACTCGCTCCGTGTCGGCGGAGGCCCGGGATCCCCTCGACACGACGACGAAGACGACGAAGACGACGACGACGACGACGACGACGCCGCCGCCGCCGCCTCCGCCGCCGCCGCCGACGTCGACAACGACGCGTGGCCGGAAGGGAAGGAGGACGGGCGCAGCGCTGGGTCAGCGCGGCCGAGGAGGGAGGGAATGAGGGAGGGGGGAGGGAGGGAGGTATGAGGAGGAGGAGGAGGAGGAGGAGGAGGAGGAGGAGAGGAGGGGAGGAGGGGGAGGGGAGGGGATGGGAGGGGAGGAGAGAGGGAGGGAGGAGGGAGGGAGGGCGAGGGCGACGACCAGGGCGACGACGACGACGACGACGACGACGACGACGACGACGCCGCTACCAGCGACGCCGACAACGACGCACTGCCTTCCTCCTGCCGGCGGGGAGATCGCCGCGGCCTCGCCGCTGCCGCGCCGCCGGCGCGCCGCGGCGCGTGCGCCGGAATGGAGGGGGGAGGCCGGGCGCGGCGCCGGGGCCGGCGTGGCCGAGGAGGAGACGCCGGCTGAAACGCGTCGGGCCCCTTGCGCGACGGGCCCCCCATGGACAGGGCACGTGCGGGGGCACCTGCCCCACTGCCGGACCCCCCCACTCGGGGCCCCCACTTGGGCTGAGTGCTTCCACCCGCCTCTGCCCGAGGCGCTGGGTCCAGCGTCCTACTTAGGGCGAAGAGAAGAAGAAGAAGAAGGAGACGCCGGCTGAAACGCGTCTTCCCTTCGCAGACAGCGACCTGGCTACGATCGAGATGTTCTCCCCAAACAGGACTTCGCGGGAGGATGCCAATCGAAGCAGAGTCGGACCTGGGACAGAAGAATGTCCCTCAAGAACACGAGACCCTCCACCGGCCAAAACACACCGAGGGTACCCTCCCCCAGGATGCACAAGAACATCCAACAAACACGAAGAACTTGAGGGTACCCTCCCCGAAGCGACCTCGACCTTCTACTTCGGTCCGACTGTAACCAAAAAAACTACAAAAGAGTCTCACACGGGGAGACGGGGAGCCCGAGCCGGCTGCCATTTTGCCTGAGCCGTTCTCACGATGTATTCAAGAATCGTGCTCTCGCCCCAATGCCTGCTAAATTTTCGACCCAGACAGTCACGATATTTTGCCCCGCTCCCCCCCCCAACAAAAAGGGGCCTATTCATCAAGGTGCTGGGGAAAGTTGCTTAGCGTGTCGCGGCGGCATCCCCAGCGACACTCTGTGCCCTGCGAGTTTATGGCGCGTCGCCTTGCTCCGCCGGGTTGGAGGCTCGGAAGAAGCTCGGGAAGTTGACGACAGCGGGCAGGGACGTGGATAGCGTGCCGCGCCGAAGCGCGGTGGGCCAGAACCCGCGGCGCGACACGCTAAGCCAATGTTCCTGACGGTAGGAGGTGCGCGGATTGCGCATCCCCTTTGATCGGTGCCACCCCGAGGGAAGGAGGTCGACAACCCACACCCGCCTCCCCCCTCCCCATCCTTGCCTCTTGCTGGCCGCCCCTGTTTGCGGTTCACCCCCTCCTCCTCCTCCTCCTCCTCCTCCTCCTCCTCCTCCTTTCTCCTTTTCCTCCTCCTCATCCTCCTCCTGCTGCTCCTCCTCCTGCTCCTCCTCCTACTCCTCCTCCTCCTCCTCATCCTCCCCCTCCCCCTCCTTCATTCATTTGTAACTCCTCCCTGTCGCACCCCGAGGCCAGTCGGAAGTTCCGGGCGGGCCGTGCGTTTCGCCTGAGACTTCCTCACCGTCTGTGATCCTGAAGCTTAAAATTTGCAGCAGCTTCATGGATGGAGGGCGGGTCGCTTTCAAAATAGGGCTCTCGCCTCAGCGCCGCGCACAATTGTGAGCTTAAAGAGCTTCACGGACTGAGGACAGGTCATTTTCAAAATGTGGCTCTCGCATTGGCGCCGCGACCATCCTCTGTAAAAAAAGAAAAGTTTCACGGTTTGAGGGCGGTCGTTTTCAAAATTGGGCTCTCGCCTTAGCGCCGCGCACATCCGTCTTAAAAGAGCATGCCAGAGCTTCACGGATTGAGAGCGGGCCGTCTTCAAAATGTTGACCTCGCCTGAGCGCCGCGCACATTCGCCACAAAAACTGCAACAGCTTCAGAACAAACAGGGCGCTTCGTTTTCAAGATGTAGCTCTCGCTGTAGCTCCGCAGACATTCTGCATAAAAAAAACGCAAGGGCTTCACGGATTGAGGGTGGCTCCTTTTCAAAATGTGGCTCTCGCCGTAGCGCCGCGCACTATCGTTCACGACAGTCTCAAGGCTTCTCACGGCGAACGTCCCAGACATGGTGTTTTGGCACGACTTCTGACTGTCAGGACGCAACAGGTACGTTGATTCATGG